TAATCAATTTCGTGTATTTATTTCTAAATTTAAAAGCTATCAACCATAATTTATTCTATAAACAGAAATCCTTTGGAGTATCTAGATACTATCTTGATTTTATTTGCAAAGTCAAAATATTAATTGTTCATTCCTTGCTAAAGTATAATAATATTATACAACTAAAAAATTTGGAGTCAAAGTAAATAAACTTTGAGGGATATATTCGGAAACCTCTTATTATAATATTATGGATATTACAGGAAGTTAAATTCTAATAAAATTTATAGTTGAATTCCTTGAGTTTGCAAACAAGCAGATGATTACGGAGAGAATCATTGTTATTCATCTAATTAATACGTAGAAATCAATAATCGGGATAAATTTTGAGATTAGAGTAAAACCATATAAGTGGAAGCACTCAATCACATAATTTATCCAGATTATTTTGCTTTCAAAATTGGGAAGGAAATTTTAACTTTTGATATATCAAAGCTGAATATTAAGTTCCCGTATTGATTGCAAGATTCCAAAATATTGAGTCTTTTTGAATTTCTCATTAATCTGATCAGCTTAAGATTTATTTTACATAAAATGTATCAAATTCTAACTCTATTCAATAATCAACTATAGAAAAATCTTCATCTCTCAATAAATATTGGGATTTCAACTTTTTTCCTTTATTCATCCCAAACTACTTAACTTTCTTAAATTATAACTGAGTTAGGGATGAAAGAGATTTTTAATATATCTAGATATATTTACAATCAAAGGTGTAATTTAAATTTATGAATTCAAATTTTTTTATTTTGAATTTCTATTTAAATGCAATCATGTCAAAATACTTTAAAAATTAAAGCAAAATGCTTATTATTTCTAAGTTCCTTGTTCTTTTTTAAATGCATGCATAAATATATTCAGGCAGTTCCATAAAATATGCTTTTACATTCCCATTGATACGTATTTAAGGCTCTAATTATTGTTGTGCAATCTCAAGTATCTAATAGTTCTCACATATTGTAAATACATTAGGGAATATTACTTTATATTGCTAAAATCAAGATTCAAAATATCTAGCACAATACTTCCTATGATAAATACTATGAATAAAGCGAAACACAATCATAATGAATTACATGATGAAATCCAGAGTTCCATGTTATTCTTCAAAATTAAAGGATATTAAGTTGATACTCGTTTTAATCAAAAGGAGGTTCAGAAATACTGAAATACTTTCCAGATGTCTTTGAGCATCAAAAAGGCACTTTTTATTAAAGAGAAATCTCTATAAAAAAGTCTCTTTAGTGAGGAATCACAGTTTTTACAATTTCTAAATCAATTAATAGGGACTATAATAATAAAATGTTTTGTTTTACTGCGCTCAATTATCAGTAATCCTAAAAGACTAGAAGAATTAGAATCCCTTGACTAAAAGTTTATATTGTATTGAAAGTCTTCAATTAAATTGCTTTTAACTAAAGGCCTTTTATCAAACTTCCTCCTAGTATGATTCTTTTCATAGGTATGAAATTTATATGTGCTTAGAGTAACAAAATATGAGATAGCGATTATCTTGTTAGAACGGCATACATTGTACGGAAGCCTTAAAAGCATAGTTCTAAGCCATATGGAAATAAATGCCTCTGTGCATCAACCTACGCCTTAAAGACTCTAACTAATAGAAAAGTTCCAGGATTAAAATCAAGGAAATATGGGTACCTAAACACAATGTGTACATTTTGGTTACTTAAAAACATTATCAGAATCAACCATAATGGTCATACTTTTTTGAAAAATGGAATAGCTTGATAGGCTTTTAAAGAAGCCGTTGAAGGGTTAATCTTTAGGAACAGTTAGGAAAGATGAATGCTGATTTTCTAATAAATGCGTATCATAAATTAAATTGGTTGGATTTAAGAATTTTTTTGGTTATTTATGAGATTTCTGTTTTTAGATCACATATCTTTTTTAGGACGAATCAGTCCAATGAAGCAAATATTGTTGAAACTCGTTTAGTTGTCAGCACAATATTTTCAGCCATCATACTATTGCTTCCATAAATCAAACAAATTTAATAATAACTTTTCTTATACCAAATATTCTCCAATACTGTCATTCAACAATATTAATCCTTTGCACTTGAGGACTTTTGAATTTGATTAAAATTTAATTTTAAAGTTAAGATTTCCATTCAATTACATTATTAATTAGTTTATTTTTCGTGGTCCTATTATAGAATTTATAAAATCATCATCTTTCTGAGAATCAAATAAGGCAGTTTTCAAATTTATTAATACACTCTTGGGTTGACTTGTATAATTAGAATTTATAAGTTATTGAACTTAAATGGATTTATCTAATTATGATCCTAACAACGTACAAGATTAGCTTTATTTAACGTAGTTTTGATTAATTAAATCACATATATCTTGCTTTTGATTCAATTAATTAGTTTTTTAAGATAAATCTATTAAATTTAATATATATCTTGAATTTATTTTATCTGTATTAACTATGGATAATCAATAAAGTCTACATATTTAGACCTTTATAAAGAAAAATATTTGATCAAGTATTGATATTAGAATAGATTGATTGATATTATTTAATACATAATAATATAATTTGATAATAATGAACTTATTTAACATTTTTATAGAAATAGAAAAAGATTTAATATTTATATTAATAATGCAATAAATGAATGCAGATACTATAAAATGTCCAAATTCTGAGCATGCCAATGATGTCAAATTGATATGTTTTAATGAGTCTTGTAAAGCAAATAGATTATATTGTATTTAATGTATGAAAGATGGAACTCATATTTCTCATCCTTAAAATTAATAAGAATTACCCATGTTATTTGAATTTATTGAAAAAACTGAAAAAGAATGTAATGATTGGATGACTAGTTTGAATTAATAAATGGATTTGGCTTAATAATCATTCTATTTTTTGCTTGAAGGAATTAGATCTAAATATCAGAAAACTAAAGAATAATTTCTTAATTTAAATTCAAAATAGATGAATTCCTTTTTTGTAGAAATCATCCAATTCAAATCAGTTTAATAAACAATTAAAGACCAAATCGAAAATTCCATCAAAGAATTATAAAATTAAATGGAAAAGTTAACATATGGTTTAAAATTATCCGAATTAAATTATTGTTCAATATCTGATTCAAATATTCAAAAGTCAGAAGAATTATATAAAAAAGGTAATTAATCAACTAAATTAGGTTATCAATTATATTGGAATGATGACAATTATAAAGAGGCGATTAAAATGTTTGATTAAGCATTAATTTTTAATTCAACACATTAATTATCATTATAGTGCAAAGGTATGATTTTATTAAAATTGATAGCCTAGAGTCTAAAGATGCTTGGTTAATATAATGAAGCAATCATTTGGATAGATAAAGCGTTGTAAGTTGATCCAAAGCATTGCAATTCATTGTATTGCAAAGGTATAACTATTCTTAAACTTGTTAGCTGAGAGTTTAAGGATGCTTGGTTAATTCAATGAAGCAATCATCTGGGCAGATAAAGCGCTGGAAATTGATCCAAAGCATTGTAGTTCATTATTTTGCAAGGGTATGAAAAATGTTTGATTTGAAGGTACCATATTAACATAATTGAGAATGTTTAATGAAGCTATGTTGGTGATTGAGTAATCTTTATCAATCAATCCAAATAATTTTGATTCTTTATGGTCAAAAGGTTGATGTATTTTACTATCAATAGGTCTTTGTTTACAATAGCAGAATTAATTTAAAGATGCCATAACATTTTATGAAAAAGCTTTAACGATAATACCAAATCATTAATGGACTAAAAATAGAAGAGGTATATATTTCTAAAAAATTCAGATGAATGTTTAAAAGCCTTAAATAACAAATCATTATTCAAATTCTTGAAAATATATTGAAAATAATAATTCATATTTCTAAATCTTGATTTTCTTTAGGAAGTTCATTCTTTCTAAAAATATACCATTCTTAGTTATTGTTTTTTGTTAGGATATTACAAAATTTTGATGAAGAATAAAATTGACAGAGTATCTAGTTTTAAATCGATATCGTTTTAATTATTGGAGAAATAAAATTTCCAAATATTATTATATTGCCTAACAATTAGTTATGTTCTCTTAAAAGTCTTACATATATACTTGAAAACAGCTTCATTAATCTGCTAGAAATGTAAATAACAAATTTTTATAAATACTTACAAGCTTTTTAAGTGTATTCATCTTTCTGGGTTTCATTTCGTCTGATTTTATTGAAATAAGAATTTCTATCCAAATTAAGGTTAATAATTTAAAAATATTAAATTAGGATTTGGTCGCTTTAGAAATATCTATTCATGATTTATCAAATGCACAACAAGAAAGCTTTCCTATAAGTTATGCATTAAGTTCTGTTGAGTAAACTATAATCAAGATTAAAAGTTAGATCACTCATAAATTAAATATAATATTCTTATTATTGACTATCACGGTGATTTGAAATCATTCCAAACTAATTTTTTGTTTATAATTGCCCTTATTTTTCATTAATTTGATCCTGGATTATATCTTTTGAAGTATAATCAGGTAGGGTATTTGATAATATAATATGCTCCTTTCAATATTTAGGTTTCTTCAGATTTGTTAAAATAATCTAAATTACATGAAGGCTAATAAAGATATTTAGAATATGATTTAATTTTCTATTCACTGGCTCTAAAATTTATTATTAATTGATTTATATATTACATTTCTG